ACATTGCATTTAAATTTTTACAGATTAAAAATTGACCAAAATCCTCCTAGAGACAATAAAGAAAGAGATTACAATAGAAAAAAGCCTCGTAAACATAGAAGTGTAAACATTTAAATTTTGCAGATTAAATTGGACTAAAAAGCCTCGAGAGGAAAAGAGAATAAGTGTAAACATTGCATTTAAATTTTTGCGAATTAAAATTGAATTAAAAAGCCTCGAGAGATGAAAGAACGACAGAGTGTAAAAATTGCATTTAAATTTTGCAATTAAAATTGACTAAAAGCCTCGAGACAAAAGAGAACAATACAGAAAAACATTGCATTTAAATTTTGCAGATTAAAATTGACTAAAAAGCCTCGAGAGGAAAAGAGAACGATAAGTGTATAAAACATTGCATTTAAATTTTTTGCAGATTAAATTTGAACTAAAAAGCCTCTGAGAAAGAACAATAGAAAGAACAAATTTTTGCAGATTAAAATTGACTAAAAGAAGATTGGTAAACATTGCATTTAAATTTTGCAGATTAAATTTGACTAAAAGCCTCGAGATGAAAGAGAACAATAGAAGTGTAAACATTGCATTTAAATTTTTGCAGATTAAAATTGACTAAAAGCCTCGAGAGGAAAGAATAGAAATTATATTGCATTAAATTTTGCAGATTAAGAAGACTAAAAAGTAAACAATTGCATTTAAATTTTTGCAGAAATTGACTAAAAAATTGAGAGGAAAGAGAACGATAAAAGCATTTGAGATGAAAATTGAACAAAGCCTCGAGATGAGTGTAAAAAATTATATGTTTTAAATTTTGCAGATTAAAATTTTTGCCTCGAGATTAAATTGATGTAAACATTACATTAAATTTTTGGATTTAAAATTATTCTAAAACCTCGAGATGAAAGAACAATAGAAGTGTAGCAGATTAAATTAAACTAAAGCCTCGAGATGAAAAGAGAACGATAGAAGCGGGTGTTAAAATCCTCATGAAAAGTGCATTTTAAATTTTTGCAGATTAAAATTGACTAAAAAAAGCCTCAGATGAAAGAGAACAATAGAAGTGTAAACATTGCATTTAAATTTTGTAGATTAAATTGACTAAAAAAGCCTTCGAGAGATGAAAGAGAACAATAGAACAATTTAAATTTTTGAGAGTAAAAAGCCTCGAGATGAAAGAAACAATAGAAGTGCAAAATTTATTTAAATTTTTGCAGATTAAAATTGACTAAAAGCCTCGAGAGGAAAAGAGAACAACGAGAAGTGTAAACATTGCAAATTTTGCAGATTAAAAATGCAAAAGCTTAAAAAAGAGAACAATAGAAAAACATTGCATTTAAATTTTGCAGATTAAAATTGACTAAAGCCTCGAGAGGAAAAGAGAACGATAGAAGTGTAAACATTGCATTTAAATTTTTGCAGATTAAATTTGACTAAAAAAGCCTCGAGATGAAAGAGAACAATAGAAGTGTAAACATTGCATTTAAATTTTGCAGATTAAAAATTGACTAAAAAAGCCTCGAGAGGAAAGAGAACGCATTTAAATTTTTTGTAGATTAAAATTGAAATGAAAGAACAATAGAAGTAAAATGCCCAAAATTTTTGCAGATTAAAATTGAAAAAAGCCTCGAGAGGAAAAGAGAACAATAGAAGTGTAAATTTTGCATTTAAATTTTTGATTAAAATTGACTAAAAAGCCTCGAGATGAAAGAGAACGATAGAAGTGTAAACATTGCATTTAAATTTTGCAGATTAAAATTGACTAAAAAGCCTCGAAAGAGAACGATAGAAGTGTAAAGATTTAAATTTTTTTTGAGAAAAATTGAATAGAAAAGAGAACGATAGAAGTGTAAACATTGCATTTAAATTTTGCAGAAAAATTTTTGAGTTGAAAGAGAAACAATAGAATTATTGCATTGATTAAAATTGATTAAAAAGCCTCGAGATGAAAGAGAACAATAGAAGTGTAAACATTGCATTTAAATTTTTGCAGATTAAAATTGACTAAAAATGAGATGAAGAACGAGATGAAAGAGAACAATAGAAGTGTAAAATATTGCATTTAAATTTTTGCAGATTAAAAATTGACTAAAAAAGCCTCGAGAGGAAAGAGAACAATAGAAGTGTAAACATTGCATTTAAATTTTGCAGATTAAATTTGACTAAAAAGCCTCGAGATGAAAGAGAACAATAGAAGTGTAAACATTGCATTTAAATTTTTGCAGATTAAAATTGACTAAAAAAGCCCGAGATGAAAGAGAACAATAGAAGTGTAAACATTGCATTTAAATTTTTGCAGATTAAAATTGACTAAAAAGCCTCGAGAGGAAAGAGAACAATAGAAGTGTAAACATTGCATTTAAATTTTTGCAGATTAAAATTGACTAAAAGCCTCGAGAAGAAAGAGAACAATAGAAGTGTAAACATTGCATTTAAATTTTTGCAGATTAAATTTGATTAAAAAAGCCATTGCATTTAAATTTTTGCGAGATGAAAGAGAACAATAGAAGTGTAAACATTGCATTTAAATTTTGCAGATTAAAATTGACTAAAAACCTCGAGATGAAAGAGAACAATAGAAGTAAACATTGCATTTAAATTTTGCAGATTAAAATTGACTAAAAAGCCTCAAGATGAAAGAGAACAATAGAAGTGTAAACATTGCATTTAAATTTTTGCTTAAAATTGACTAAAAAAGCCTCGAGAGGAAAAGAGAACAATAGAAGTGTAAACATTGCATTTAAATTTTTGCAGATTAAAATTGACTAAAAAGCCTCGAGAAGAAAGAGAACAATAGAAGTGTAAACATTGCATTTAAATTTTTAAATTTGATTAAAAAAGCTCGAGATGAAAGAGAACAATAGAAGTGTAAACATTGTATTTAAATTTTTGCAGATTAAATTGACTAAAAAGCCTTGAGATGAAAGAGAACAATAGAAGTGTAAACATTGCATTTAAATTTTGCAGATTAAAATTGACTAAAAAAGCCTTGAGAGGAAAGAGAACAATAGAAGTGTAAACATTGCATTTAAATTTTTGCAGAATAAAACTGATTAAAAAGCCTCCAGAGGAAAGAGATTTCAACAGATGAAAAGTGCGAGAAAAGGAACAACATATAACGTAAGGTTGCATATAGCCAATACGACTGTAAATTGGTGAGACCTCATCTCCAGTCTTTCACTGTGCTTGAATTCATATAGTCTGTGTACCATAGCGAAGAGTTCAACTGAATAATTGCCATAAAAGCATTTATAGAAAATTCACAGAGAGATAACTTTACGGCGGTGACAAAATGTCTGCGATGTTGTTACGATTTACAATTTTTAATTTTTGCGTTAAGAAATATATATTAGGTTGGTGCAAAAATAATGACGTAATAATGTCGTTTTTTACGTATTTTTTAACGTCAAAAACGACATTCTTACGTCATTATTTTTGCACCAACCTAATAGAATTAGAATCACTATTAACTGGGTGAGTGCGAACAATCATCGGACACTATTATCATTAAGTAGAAATTTGGACTGAAAAATGCTTTATTCTTCAAATTAGCGCATTTTGACGCTATTGCCCTAATAGAAATCTCGCTACCACGTGTAATTGTTTTACATTAATAAAAAACGTATCTGTGGATATAAATTGGATCTATAGACTACACAGGCATTATTTACATTATTCGGACTATTGTCCTCATCTTTGTCGCCATATTTATTACAATGTTTCGGCTGTTGTACGCTCCGGCCTTTTTCAGGTGGTTGGAATGTCGAACTTAACCCTTTATTTCGCTCACTGGGGTAAACTGTTCTAGTTCCACGTGCCATATTTAATGGATGTCAGTTATGAGTTATCAGTTTATTTCCTAACCCTAACCACATGGCACAGTGGATAAAGGCGTTGGTTAGATCCAGTGACAGGACCCAAAGAGTGTGAGTTCAATACCCGGTTAAGGCAGTGGAGAACTTGGCGAGAGGAATTAACAGGAGATAACTGACATCTATTAAATATGGCACGTGGAACTAGAACAGTCTACCCCAGTGAGCGAAATAAAGGGTTCAGTTCGACATCCCAACCACCTGAAGAAGGCAAGAGCGTACAACCGCCGAAACGTTGTAATAAATATGGTGAGAAAGATGACGACAATAGTCCGAGTAATGTAAATAATATACATAATACCTAATCTCAGAAATATAGACAGATACTGAAAGGCTGAAACGTTGTAATAAATATGGCGACAAAAATGAGGACAATAGTCTGAATAATGTCAATAGTGTACATAATACCTCATCTCAAAAATATAGACAGATACTGAAAGGCCGAAATGTTGTGATAAATATGGCGACAAAGATGAGGACAATAGTCCGAATAATGTAAATAGTGTACATAATACCTCATCACAGAAATATAGACTGAGACTACACAGACCTATAAATTTAAATTCCGAGTAAGGATTTTCGAATAGAAATATAAACAGAATGTTTTCAGCACGTCGTATTTAACTTGCGTGTGTGGCTGAGTGGTTAAAACGCTTGCTTTCTTATCATGAGACCAGAGTCAGTAATATGATTTCTTGATAATACCTGGGGAGGTGATCCCAACGTGAGGCATGCGTCGAAAGTCCCTGGATACTATATCACGGATTGACTCAAGCCTTGTGAGTAAGATTGGTTATATGGAGCAGTTCTGCTGAGGTTTGTCCTAACGCAAAGTCCCAAGTCATCATGACCGAGTGTTTGTTCAAACTATTGATCACGCCAGGTGCGCTCACTTTCAGAAATTGTAGCTAAAGTTTGCTCAGCATAGTTACAGTATAAACCACAGGTTGGCTCTCTGGGTGTTGAAAAAACACAAATGTACCTGAGCAAGTGTCTGCAACAGGGTCTGGTTAGCCGACCCAGCAGACAGACATACACAGAAACGAGCGGAGAGCTATTACATTTACTATCATAAAGAAGTCACCCTTTCAGATTTATTTTACGTTAGATTGTATTAATAGTTTCCATTCTTTTTTTACCACTGGTTCCCGAACGATCATCGAAGTTAAGCAACGTCAAGTCTGGTCAGTACCTAGATGGGTGACCGCTTGGTAATATCAGGTGCT